GCATGATAATTATGATAAGTATTGCAAGTTAGAAATGTTAATTATAGAAAAACAAAAGTTTCAATTAGGAAAGAGTTGTTTTACTATAATTAAGGGAGAGGAAATTATACTTCATCTCAAATCTAAAAGCTGAGATTGAGGTTTTAATTGTATTAGTCAAGGATATATACATGAATTTCATGTTGGAATGGCTCAACATAAGGAAATTCTGTATATGGGTCCATTATTTGCGTTCTAAAATTCGATTAAGATTACGACATTCCTTTTCATAATCTGAATTATGAGAACTTGGCAAATTGAAATGGAAATATTATAGCAAAAGACTGGTTTAGTCTTTATGTGAGACATCATGAATCGTGTCGCATATGCTTCGGATATAGGATCGATTACATGTGCTATATTCATCCTTTCTAAAATTTTCCAAATGCTTGGGGCATTATGAAGGGAAAAGGTCTAGAAATTGATACGACTAAAATGATTAAGCAATTGTCGAGGACAATCTAAGGTTTACCAAAGATTGGTTGCTCAAGGACAGTTAGAAGTATAATGTTAATTTTGGAAGGACCATATTGACATAATATGTAAGGAGGCAAATCTTATTCAGAAGTGATAGTCAAAATGGAATATGGAAGTGTTTCAAAGTTAGAAATTATTCAATCTGTGTAAGATTAGGAAACTTAATGCAAGAAGGATGTTTCCAAGGAGTTGATCTCCTTTGGAATGCTCTGTAATGATTGTTGTCAAGTCTTTCTGACTTTGTGCATAATCATTATAAGAGGATCAATGCATATAAGTTTAGAATCTAATAGATTTCAGTAAATGACATGAATTTGGAATTCTTGCATTTGCAGTAAGAATTTGGGACTGTGAAAAAGAGGATCATTGGAGTTATGATCAATTGATATATTTTCACAAAGTAAAGATCATAGACAAACATAGTATGCATACTTGGTGTATGGCATGACTAGTGTTTAGAAAACATATTGTGCATACTTGGAGCATAGGACAACTATTGTTTTAAATTCAAGAATAAAGTTGATAGCCGAAACCGTATACAATGAATAATATGGAATCATATGGTGATAAATAAAAGGTGGTTTATTTATGTTCATAGGTTTTGATACCATATTGGATTAAATTAATATTGTGTTTCATTTTGCATGTTTTAACTTCCAGAATAACTAGGTCATTGTTCTGGATGACTAAGTTATTCAAAGAATCCACAGTCAGTCATATGTTGGAAGTAGATATGAATTAAAACTGTCATGGGTTGGCTTGTAGAGGTCTATGATGTTGGAGAAAGGGCTACACACACTCATGAGTGCTCATAAGTTCTGAGTATTGGATTCAACCCGCGGTCATTGGAATCACTTCATGGATTTTATCACGAGTGATCATGAGACAATAATATCTTATATTCTTCAAACCTAGAGATATGAGTTGTTATTATGAGTTGGTTGTACATTGATTGCACGAAAACGCATACGGTAACTCGGTGTTATAAAACGTGCCTTTGTGTATGATTCAACAAGTAGTAGAACAAGCCATATGAGTCAAAGTTTATCCATTCCTTTTACCTTCAGGATAAAAGTGATATCTGTGGACCCCTCGATGATTTGATGATGACAAATGGAAGTGCTCGGCCGGGCCAGGACTGATTTGAAGATCTTGGTGGATTGGTGAGTGTTTGAAGGCCCTTTGATGTATTCCAACAAGATGGTAACGAAAAGGGATGAAGAAGAGTGAAAGATGAAATTCTTGTGGATGATACTTGAGAGAGATTTAAGAGGATCATGGCCAGGAGGTAAAAAATGAATGAAAAATGAAGTATACATTATATATATGGATGGTTCACGTCCTAAGAGGGGTTCACGACCGTGAACAAGGTTTGCGGCCGTGAACCTCACTTGATGAGGTTTCAGGACCGAACGCAATACTCAAATCCCGATTCCTTAGTAGTTCACTTCCTAACACACACCCCTGACTTTACCGGGTAGAACTACTGTACAAAAATCCTAAGCTTTGACTCCGCTTATGCCACAGCTTGAGAATAACTAAAGAAGATGCTCATGGAAGTGAGATACAAAAATTAGAACAAGCACTAGTTGAAGAAAAGCTTGTTATGAAGATGGTGAAACTGCCCAAGGCTAAAGAACCAGGAGGTAACCACACGAGTTAGAGTAATTGTGATCGAAACAAGGAATGAAATCTAGGAACCATAGGTAGTGACTAGTACGTTTCTCATTAGCACTTGTATATTGAAGTAATTGTAATAACAAATGTGCATTGAAATATTCTTGAACCCTAAACTTAAACCTATTTTGAGTCATGAACCTAGTAGTTTGGAGAAAACCTAGAGACCGTAGACAACTAGTGAATTGTCGAAAATCTACTCGGAAAATTTTATTAAATATCATCCTAACACTTACCAAATCATGTTTGTCATGTCAAGCTTGTGTGTATGTCACCGAAAGTCCGATATCGTTTTCTATATGACACAGTTTTGTTTGTATCACGTCAAGTCGTTATATGACCCCCCTTTAAAAAATACATAACCATGAACAATCGATCCTTATGTATAGACTTTATGCCAATTTCGAGCGGAAGCTTCAGCATTATCTTAGGTATAAATCGACTACCTCCCATTGTGTTTTGATCTATACTACAAGAAAGTTGTACGACCAAATCTACCTACGAGAAAACCATGGTTATTTATGATGACAAGTCGGAGTAAAACCTAAAGTCTTCTTCCTACCCTAAGAATCAAACGATGGGCTGTTGTGAACTTCTCGGCTCACCGTAATTTAAGCAATTGTGAAGAATTTAATCAAATGTGAAGGATTTGATAAAATGTGAGGAATTTAATCAAACGAGAAGGATTTGATAAAATGTGAATGATTTAATCAAATGTGAAGCATTTGATTAAATGTGGAAGTTTAAGTGAAGACTTCTTTCTAAGAAATGAACGACGAAATTTTAACAAAAAAAGTTATGTTAGATACCACCAGTGATCTATTAGGAACTTCTTTATGGTAGCCCAATCGTAAGCTATGTTAACACCAAAAGGAAACAAAGTTCAACTGGAAAGATAAACAAGATATTATATTCTAGAAGTTGGAATAACTAGGGTGTAATGGCACCAATCCTACTTATCTGAAAGAATAGAGAACTTGTTCGTTTACAACGACATGTACATATAGGATTGAGGTACACATAGGTGAACTGAGACAAGGCCTTTGCCTATGCTTTTTGTTGAATGGCATAAATGAGGAATTTATTGTCATCATGATGCGTGAGATTCGTTAGCATTGTAATGAGATTAATATAGCAACAAATATCTTGAGTCGAAAAGAATGTATCAAACCCAGCTGAGTACAAGTATTGTCTATGAATATCCATTCACAACCTACAACTCGAATCCGAGAAGTTTATCTCGAGACTCTGAGAGAAGAAAAACTTCACGAGTGAAGATCTGTGAAGACTGGAGATACATGACAAGCTCAGGGATGACGAGACGCAATACTTTATGAACCAAATTTGTACCCCAAAGTACAATGAACACGTGAGCATAGTTTTGTATAAAGCTCATAGGTTAAAATGTCACATTCATCCTGGCTCTGATCTAATGTATTTAGATTTGAAAGGATTGAAGCGATAAACATGCATGAAAGCGGAGATTACCATTTGACGCTTTATATGGATGAGAGTGTCAACCCTCGATATGTTGAACAATGATTGAAGTTACGCAATTGAACAAAAATTCTTGCGAGCGATACGATGCACCTTTATAAAAGAATCACTCAAGAGATCGCATAAAATATTGTGTAAATCTGAGAATGATTACAGACTGTGCACGAATGACAAGAGAGTTATGTGAACAAATAATGTCGGTTTCATGACTTCCAAGTCAGAGATTGTGTAGTTTTAAAATGCATTCTCTTTTAGAGAAATAATTTCGGCTTAGAAAATGAGACAGGTTAAACCTGCAGTTCAAAGGACCTTAGAAATTCTTAATAGAACTTGGTCTTGATATTCATATCAATTTATCTTGAGAGCTAAACAACATGCACGACACTTTTCATAGGCCAAATCTCAATGAGTGCACTAGGAAATTGCACTAGTGTTTCATATGTTGGAAAGTAAATCGTTGTAGAATTGTATTTAAGATTCAGTGATCTTTTAAATATTTGATTCGATCTTATTCCATATTCTTTATTTATTTGTGACTTGTGGTAAAGTCACATATTGGACCAGTTATCTAACCTAGAGCTATGTAACTTTAATCGACTTTAGAAAGATCATGTAAGGATCAAGCAAAAGGAAAATACCATCAATTATTTTATAATATTTTATCTATACGTTAAATTTCGGGACAAAATTCCTTTCAACGGGGGGATAATGTAACAATTGATAAAAATAGATCAGAATTTGACGGTCAAACCACCACTAATGACCAATTGTATGTAATTTTATGTTTTTAATTTATATTATATTATATATATATATATATATATATATATATATATATATATATATATATATATATATATATATATATTTATAATTTTTTTAGAACATCCCAACATGCTTAAACCGTTCATCATTGAAAGATTGAATAAAAAACCAACTAAAAATTAAATCTATTTGTGGCGTTAAAAATAAAACTTTTGTATTAAATATATTTGAAAGTTATAGATAAGATATTTGAATAGATTATGTTCTCCTGACTTCGTGCATATAAAGAACGCCTCAGTAAAGTTACAAAAATCAATATTTATCTATTTTTTTAAAACAAACCATTCACTGCTTTGTTTTGTTTGGAATAGCTACAGACATCATAAATTATTTCTGAGCACATTTTTGTATTCAGCTTATGATATATTATTTTATTATATTATTTAATATTTTTAAACTCAATCAAAATCACACGCATAAAAATTTGTCAAATCCAATCCTATAAATTGCAAAACTTTAAATGTTAATTCATGGAGTTTGGTACATCAGAATTGAATTCCGTTTGCATTTTTGGAATCACCTCGACGAGGACAAGTAACATGCAATTTCATAATACTTTCCTGAGTCGGGATCTATAACATGAGAATCGAAAATCGGAACTTACATAACAAAATAAATAAATAAAATACATGTTAATTAAGTTTACACAAAATATCCAAGAAATCGGATTTTGGTGTACAAATACAATCAATTGCAATCTTCTTCCATGCTTGCAAAAATCTGATTCTTGGAAGATTTTATTTAAAAAAAAAAAAAAAACACGTTTGCACAACCCTCACAGAAAGTGTCCCTCTCACTTCTACTCTTCCTTCTTGTTTCGAAGCACAGTCAAGAACACCTCTATTGTAGGTGGTGTTCTTATAGTTTCTCCAGTGAGCTAAGCAGCAGCACCCTCCTTTCGTTATTCCTTCTATCTTCTCTGTAGAACATCAACCAAAACACCCCTCCACTTGCTGAGGTACCACCATCGATCAGTCCCATGTTCTTTGAGTTTCAATGATCGAAACAGAAAAGGAAACTGGTGGAGCCAAGAGACCTCCAATCGACACCTTCACAGCTCGCTCCTGCCTCCAACGACCTCCATGTCTCTTTACCCTTTTGTTTTGATGGGGTAAACAGGTCCCAAACACCCACTGAATTCTCTTTCTTTCCCTGTCAAATAATCAAACCCAATCACCCATCTAATCCTGTTGATCAAGATCCATTGATTTATAGTCAAAATAAAAAGAAAAAGAAGAAGAAACCTGTGAAGCTGTCGGCCATGGCAGCCCTCTTCCTCCTCCTCTCCACTTGTTTCCGTCAAACACAACCAAACACCCACCTTCCTTGGTGGTTGATATCGGCAGAAGAAGGAGCAGTTTTCACGGCCCCTGTTCGTTCCTCCCTTCTTCTTCTTCGACCGGATTGAGCACTGGTGGTGCTTTTCCCGATTCATCACTGCCCAGCATCCCTATATCTTCTATTGATCCCGTTCTTCTTGCTTCCTCAGTCACATCGAGTACTGATGGTGCTCGCCTCGATCGGCGACTGTTGCTGCACTTCGTCGGTTTGTATGATGTCAGCGATAAAAGAAGAACTGCAGAGGGGCGTCGGAGTTGGGCGAGTACCCCTCGTCGCTGCATTCATTCCTGTTCGTTCCAATCAGACGCAAAAAGGAAGAAGCCGATCCCTTTTCCCATTTGTTTGAATTACTTATCCATATCAGCCCCTCATGTTTATCAAATGGCCAAAAACAAACCCATCAGTTGTAATAACTAATCAAATCAGTTCCCTTCCCAACCCTAAATTTTGTCAATGGGTCAAAAGCAGCCCCTCTTTTGGATTATTTAATCGAAAGCAGCCCTACATATATTTTACAAGATTTAAAAATCAACCTTTTGACTTAAATCATTCCAAAAACAATCCATTTAGTTTTAAATATTACAAAGCAAACCTCAAAATGTTTCAAAGTTCAACAATGTTTATTTTGCGGTTAGTTACAAAAAAAGTTTCCCCAAAAAGCAATCAAGATCACGCATCGATAGTGAGTTTCTACGGCCCCTTTTTTACAGTTTTAATATTTTGGAGAGAATATATGCGTGTCTATTAAGTTATGATGATTTACATATTTTTATACGTTAAAATAGCATCGTACTTTATATTTGGTCGAAAACTAATGAATTAGTAATTCAATTATATAAATCACATAAATTAAAGTAAGATGCTAATATGGATATAAATACACCTTGTTGTAATATATTAATTAATATTAATAAAAATGACAAGATTATATGTAAACTATTATAATAACACAGATTGGTGTTGTAAATCACAACCATGACGATTTTATATGTATAATTTAAAGTATCTACTGGAAGTATGAAACGATATACACATGACCAAAAACATTATTCGAGTATAAAATGAAGGTACATTGCCATAAATTTGGAAAGACTAAGTTTATGAAATTATATGATTATTAGTTAAAATTATCAAATTTAACTTTTAATATATAAGGTTGTGTAATGACGAATAGAAAGTGTATTACTATATTTTTATATAATTATAAAAATATAACTCAATTTACTAAGTTATGGATTTTATTATAATAAATAAAATGATCGACTACAGGGCTTAAGAGTCGTTATTTACGAAATAAATACTTGTTGAGTATTATATTTAAAGATTTTCTTTAACCCAAATTAAATGTATTAAAAATATTCTCGAATAATTCATACCTATTGTGAATACCAGATCCAATATGATTTAGTATCCATTATAAACTATTATGGGTTTCGCGAAAGCTAAGATATCAATACTTAGTAGAAACTCTCCAATATATAACCGTTAATCCTAGAGGGAACAATTAACGTCGGGTGTAAGTGTCATATTATTGATCTTATACGGTACGACTGCCCGCCTGGAGTTGCTAGCTACAACTACATATGATGAGATGAATTTTGGTGCTGACATTAGCATTATCGAACATTACCACGTGTTACAACGGGGTGAATGACTTTAGCACGTCCTATTATTGTAACACCCATAAAAAATCATGCCAAATTTAAACTTTTAAAAACATTTCAGATCTATTAACCATTACAAAACTTTTTTTTCAAAATGTATCATATCAGAGTATTCCAGAAACAAAATCATAAAAAGTAAGGAGTTGTACGATCACGCCTTTGCCTTGCCACAATCCCCTGATGCACCTGAAATAGTAAACTAAAACTGTAAGCCCGAAAGCTTAGTGAGTTCCCCCAAAATACCCATACCCACAACAATACACATATAAGCATAAACAACATACTATGGGTCCAGTCAACCATCGGGTTCAAATACCCCAGACCCTCAACCGTCCGGTTGGAATGTCAACATACTATGGGTCCAATCATCCTCGGGATGGAATACCCTAGGCCCACAACCAACAGGTTGGAATGCCCACATACTATGAGTCCAGTCATCCTCGGGATGGAATACTTACAACCCACAACCAACAGGTTGGAATGCCCAGGTCTATTGGCTTTCACACAAAGCAGATAAGCCTCAACTGCCAACAAACATGTGCACATATAACATATAATCACATAATAGTCTATAGACAACAATTGATCTAATTAAGCATACCACATACCACATAATATTATCCTACCCTCTAGGATACCGAACTAACAGTGATACCACATATCACATAATATCATCCTGCCCTGTAGGATACCAATCTAACAGATCATACTAGCATGACATAACCAGATAACAATCCAAAGGGCTGGCCTTGGTGCCTTAGACCCTTGAGTATAGTGAGGATAACTCACCTGGCACTACTGAAGTCCCACAGATAAAACTCCAGCTGCTGGTTGACAGATTCCCGAACTATCAACATCAAACAATACCCCATTAATAATTGGGTTCCAAGTCCAAGGTCCAACTCACACTCCAAAGACCCAAAAGTCAAGTAATGGGCCAAAGCCAAACATATGGTCCAATTTTCCAAATTGGGCCCAAACCTTTATAAGGTCTTACCATAAGGCCCAACCATTTAGTCCAGTCCAACATTCAACATTTTAATGCCCAATATCACATAATCATAAGGCCCAAACTATAGCCCCTCTAGGGCCCAATTTTCCAAATTAGGTCCAACTCCTCATATGGGCCTTACCTCAAAGCCTATTAATTATTATCACACCCCAAAACCTGAACGACGGAATCGTTCGGGGTGGAGGACGTCATGTATAGTATCACAACAATGCAAAGTAGTAAACAAGCAAAAACATCATCCATTGCAATAATAATATAATTTCATACAAGTTTGTTCTGTCAAGTTATATAGACACCAAAAAGTACATTAAAATAAAATAGGAGTCTTGAACAAGCTCCACTTTCTCAAAAACCTGGCACTGGTACCTGTCTACTGGTGACCTAAGAATACAACTTGTTTTGAAAGCGAGTATTAGCTTTAAAGCTGGTGAGATCATAAGTATATTAGTGTCTAAGTTTGTATGAAAGCATTTGTAAGATGTAATGTATAAGTTTTGTAAAGTTTGTATTTGTTTGAACTATCCTAGAAAACCCTATGTTTCCTACTAAGACTAGCCTTCTACCAAGGCATCTAGTAACTGTGTGTGTCTCTTGTAAGAGTGTGTATTTTTCCAAATTCGACTATCAATAACCAAAAATATAGTTTTTACATAAACGTGCATCATGTGAATGTTCACGAAGTGAATGTAATAGGGAAAATATTATAGTACTGTAGTGTTGTATTAACTAACTACTGCTGTACTAATTACCTTAAACCAATTGTTATTAAAAGTACCATGTGATCGGCCTGTACCCTGCTACCGACTCAATAGTAAAACGACGATGTAAGACGACGTAAGAAATGACATTTGGCACCCGTAGACTTGCAAGTCCCACTGTAGCGAGCAACAAGGTGTAGGATAGTCAATCCATTATAGATCTATATGCAAACTCATACGCTCCCCAATTAAGGAGATTCTGGATACAAAAACGGTGATCGCAGGTAGTGCCATGACTCGTTTAATGGCTCACATAACTGAATGAAATGTATATGTAATGCATATGCTAGCTGTATTGTGTGTTCTTTCTCTGTCTAGCTTGTATGTTTGTTTCTCATCACTATGTATTATGTTTGTTTCTCATTACTATGTATTATGTTTGTTTCTCATAACTATGTATTATGTTTGTTTCTCATCACTATGTATTATGTTGATTTCTCATCACTATGTATTATGTTGGTTTCTCATCACTATGTATTATGTTTGTTTCTCATCACTATAAGTTATGACTCATGTATGAACCGACTCTTTGAATGATTCATTGTTCTAGTATTAGTATTAGTAAAACCCTAAACTATGCTTATTGTAGTTTACTAGTAATATAACTTGTACCTATGAACATGGGAGTATACCCCTGCTACCTAGGGTATTGTGACATCCCCATTTTTCATGGCCAGAAAAGACCGATTTTGTTTATGCTTTATAAAAATCAGAGTTCTTCTTTTAATAAAAATGTTGCGGAATTTGTTCCCAGAAAAACATGATAAATACATTATTAAAACATTTTCGGAGAAACGTATTTTATTCATTTCAAAACGTTTGGGATGTCATCGTTAATACATAAACATAAGCATAAACAGAACTTACATTTATCTACACTAGTGATCTACATCTCTTTAAATCTCTCAGTGTAAAGTGACTTCGTATCAACACCTGTGATATAAATAAACTGAGTGGGTCAGGTTGGGAAACCTGGTGAGTACATAGGGTTTTCAACCCACAATAATATAATTATTATGTTTAAATAATCAAGCAATTAAACCCAATTACCCATCCCCATTATCTTCTTTACTCTTAAGGATCTACCTTAAGAATCAACTATTTCTCGTTCATTCATTCCTAAGGATTATCCTAAGGAATTGACACAAAGTCCATCATAGCCACGGTTTACACAATAGGCACTAAGTCTGCATAGTCGCCAGGGTTTAGGCATCAAGTCTGCATGATCACCAAGGTTTAGGCATCAAGTCTGTACGATCACCAGGGTTTAGGCATCAAGTCTGCATGATCACCAGGGTTTAGAGTAGACCGGGTGAACACATCGTTCACAACACCTACAGGTTGCGAGCCTGCTAGTGTTCCACTGGACTGTTTAGAATAGTCCGTGGTTGTCATCCATACTCTGCTGAATGACGGGGCCATCATTTGGGAGAAAGGCTTGTCACATCGTCCACCTCTCATCCTCACCTCACGGTCTATTTCACCTCTCAACTCATCATCCAACTCATACTCCATCTACCCATGTTTTACCCCAACATTATCGTAGATATAAAATACATATACAGTTTAAATCATCTAAAACACGTATAAAATCTTTCATCAGCATAGACAACAAGTATTCAGACAATATGCACACATAGCACGTAATTTATAATAAAATACTTCATATCTATGTGTAAGATGAAAGGGACCATGCACTCACCTGATAGGTGGTGACTCAACACTCGAACAGCGCTTCGATACTCTCAAAACAACTTTCCTTCGATAAAACCTAGTATCAACACCACTAGGGTTTATCTACCGATATCCGCGACAAATTAATAGTCTGACTATTATTATTATTATATAAGCGTTAAATAACACTCAATATAACTCATAATAATAGCCCAAATAATTATTTTAAGGTCCTAATAATGTTACTATAATTAATTAGAAGCTATATTAAAACTAGCGTAGGCGTAGCTCACTTACAGCGGGTTTTTCGCAAAACCGGGCTTCGCTGGAGCAGC